TTTTCTTTAGATATTGTCCTGTTTGACCTATGTATGTGTTATCACAATTCAAACAGTCTATTTTGAAAATTACAGTATATATTATCAATATATATACATATAAATATAAATGGTATTACATATATATAAATGACTGAAACCCAGGAATGAATTTTGATTTGGAATTGAAACACAGTCAGGAAAGTATATACAATATTTTAAAAAGACTATCAAGGTTTTGATGCTCATGGTCCGTGTGGTCCTTCAATGTGTCCATGTGAAACTTTCCATTAGAATTTAATCTTGCTAAAGCATAAAGCGCCTTTGTTGTACATTCTCAGAGCGACTCTCACTCTCGTGACGAAGATGCTTCACCTGTTCAAGTTTGATGATTTCACACAGCTGCACGTTTCGTCCGAGGGAAAACCATCCTCAATTAGAAATATTAGGTCCAAAGCGGCGATAAATCGTCGAAATAGTTCGAGTTAAGCGCCAAATGCGTCGATAAAAAGCCCCACGAGACCCCGAAGAGGATCCTTTGCCGGCTTTTCGGTTTTTCGACTGCCCCGGGGGGCTGAACGGAGGAGCCCCGCGATGCGGGCCCCCATAAACAATACCGTAAACGTTAGATCGGCACGCCTTTAGCTTTAGTGATATTAGTAGTTTGTCGTCGTCCAGGTCCGAAGCGAGAAAGATCAATTATGGCTATGAAAAGCACACCAAACTATTTACGCACTTTTCTGCGATTTAGTTGCTAATAAATTGGGCCAGTTATTGTGAGCTGCGATCGATAAATCGTCTGATTTATTGCGGATTGTGAAAATGTTCGGTGAATTTTTGTCCATGAGGGACATTCGAGAACTGTTAAAGATGCTGTTTAGAGGCCAGTTCGGTCCTGCGGCACAGCTTCCATTCCAGTCCCCCTCGACCAATATCACCATTTGATGGTAGTTTATCTGGTATTTTATGCGTTCGGTGTCTCTGTGTTCCTCCGATGCCGTTATATACCGCGTAAACCAAACTTAATGTTATTGGATTTTGGATTTTATTGTAAAACGCGCCGGCCTTTGTATTATTTATGCCCGGTCCAGCTCTATAATTGGTTGCCGCGGAACGGGCAGCAATCAACGTTGCATCGTCTGCAAACCGAATCTGCGCCGCCCAATCAGCCACTGTCACTTAATGAAATCAACACTTCAAATGACAGCGACACGGGTCGGTGTTTGTCGGTTTCCAGGCGAATGCACATCGGAAGTCACGTGTTGTCTCCCCCTTTAATTCTTACGTCATTTAATTGCTGTTTGGATACGTCAATGCGAATTGCACAATGGAGAAGGGGTGACCGGGCGGCTGACATTGTTGGCCTTAATGTCAATAACATCAACAAAGGCTTAAGCATTGTGCGAATGACGCGCTCGATAATTCTCCGTCTTGGAAGTGATTTATTCAGGTCAGGGGGTTATTAAAATAGTTTCCTGATCGTTTTCGAGTCGATAATTGTAACCAACACAACCGGTTTAAATCGCCGCATTCTAACCTAAAAAGTTAACTAAGTTGAAGGGATTCGAGTGGAACTGTGCTTAAGAAACAAATCGGTGGAGTAGGCCTGGGGAACACTGTGTTGAGTTGCGCTATTGA